GGTGCAGCCAAGAGAAATACTACGAAATGAAGAGAACAGACTGTTGGGAATAAATTAATACAATTTTATGGAACAAATATTAGAATTTTGGTTGTAAATGTAGGTCAGTGCTTCTAATAGTGTTTAGGCCAGCAGAGAAGGCCTTGCTGCCCCTGATGGCCCGCCACTGACAAAACCAAAAGAGGTCTTTACTGCTACACATTTGTTATCTTTGTTTGCCATTAACATTAATTTCTACAGGGATGGAAAAAGTAAGCAAAACCTTTGCTTAAGTAGTAGCCTAACACAACAATGTAAAGCTGTACTGCATTACAAGAAGAAATCCTGCGATCAAATCCTACTTACTGTATGTACACAAGTATTATTAGCAAAATGTATTATACTATCAAAAGTTTTAAAAAAAAGTTGGTCCTTGTGACTTAGAAATGATCCCACAGCATATGACATGATCACATTGTTACTGTTATTAATGCATCAATGCATAAATCGTATTTTACTATTGTACCTGTAGCTGCTTAGTGTGGAGTTACTTTTAACATTTTATGGACAGCTAACTTGGGGCAAGGGTTACAAGATAAATCTGAGACTTTGTGAGATGAGTATTGACAGAGGGAAGAAGAAATTAATGTTCTGATACACAATATATTTTAGCTAATCTTTGCTTTTGTGAAATGTTGAATAATATAGCATCTTGGGGTTTAACCAATTCCTAAATTTCAATGTTGAGAAGTTGCAGCAAATCTCTATTTGCTGTAACTGCTACTGTAAAACAACACCGATCTAAAACCTGTGAAAAGGGGCCCCAACAACACTGTTTTATGGTAAATGTTTTGCTTATGAGGTTCTTTTTTTATTGAAAATTAAAAGCTTATATGTTTTTAACAATAATAGTCAAATAATAGATACTATACTGTATTATATACTGCAGTATTTCCCCATGATGAAATGTAGTGGAGTAGAAAGTAGCATATTACAGATAAAGTATATGTATATAAAGTACATATACTTTAAAGTATAAAGTATATTTGTACCTCAAAGTGTGTAGGCACATCAG